CAGGTTGTTCTTATCTATTCCTATCTGGTAAACAATTTCATAATGCCATTAGAGTAAGTCTCAACTAAAAATCTGCTGGGGCAACTGATAGCAGCACAAGTTGTGAGAGTGGTAGGATTATAGGTTATCAATGTTTAATGAAGATGTACTCCTCCACTTTATTGGAACTCTAAAGAACACACTGGAAAAGAGTGGTGAGATTTAAAATAGAAAATAAAGCATGTGTGTATCCAGTAAAGCATGCTTTTTTAATCTCCAATCTTTTTACAGATGTCACATTCCCTAAAAAGTTTTATTCTTCTACCTTGTGATTCAACCATTGTACTCCTAGGTATTTACAAGAAAAAAAAAAGCATAGCCTTAGCCACAAATGTTTATAGTAACTTTGTCTGTTGTAAAGGCCCAAAATGGAACAAACCACACATTAATCAATAGGTAGACAAACAAATCATGGTATATGTCTCAGTTACTTTTTTCATTGCTGAGACAAAATACCTGACACCCAAAATTAAAGGAGGAAAGGTTTATTTAGCTTACAGTTTGTAGAGGTTTCAGTTCACAGTTGGCTTGCTCTAAGGCAGGCTGGTGTGGCAGAGGGGCACTGCTGAGCTGGCAGGCAGAAGGCAGAAGGCAGAAGGCAGAAGGCAGAAGGCAGCAAGCAAGTGACCTCAGACCTCTTTCTGTCCTTTGTATTTTATCCAGGCTATCTGCCCTTAGGGCAGGTAGCACTCACACACAGGGTACCCTTAATCCTACCCAGAACTATGCAAAACCAATCAGTGGATTAGTTTAGTAATCACATACCCTTGATTCCAGCATCTTACACCCCACCTATGACCACATAAGGCTTTGGGGGGTCATCTAGACAGAGGCCATAACAGTATATACATACAACAGAACACTACGCAATAAAAGGAACACTATTGATACATGTAATAATATCCATGAATTTCCAAGTAAATAAATACTCTGACTAAAAAGCTAGACAAAATTTGAGCAGAATGTATGATTCCAGTCATGTAATATTTGTGAAAATGCAAACTACATGGTTTGGGAAAGAAAATCTTCCTATAGATTTGGTTCCCAACTATGGGAGAATGGACTGCAAAGGGCCAGGAGGCTAATTCTGGGGGTGATGGCGATGGGTAGGTGATTGTGGGGATCGTTTCATGAGTATACATTTCAAAATTCACCAAACTGTACATCTGAATTATGTTTAATCAATTATACCTCAGTGAACCTGTTTGTAAAACTCAAGGTTACCATGCCCATGAGATGCCCATTTCTGCCACAGGACTCAGCTCCATGTTTCAATGACACATTCCCAACAAGTCTCATCCAAATAAAAAGAGGCCAGAAAAAGAATGCCAGCAAAATACTGATGTTCTCCACTGTAATAGAAATCTTTTTCCCTATCAAACACCTAGGAAGAAAATGAAGTCAATACATTAAATTACTTTTTAATGTCCAAAGACCAAACAAAGAAAAAAAAAAATCAAATCTCTGAACCAAATCTCTTCCTCTTGTAAAGTTAAGAGTGCAACAAAATTAAAGTTCTTCCCCGTTTCTTATTTTATTCCCTCATGGTCAGAAGTATTCTTAATGCTTCAGCAGATTCCTTCCAAAGCTGCAGCCTAGGTGTCTTTCTTAAGAATGGATATGACTGATTGAGCTCCTTGTAAGTCAAACAAATTCAACAGTATGTCTATGGTGTGCCTCGGTTTGTAAAAGGCCTGGAGAGTTAATAAAAGCACCTAAGGTAATCACACTTGCCTCATACTCCCCAGCTTAAAAGGTAGCTACTGTGTACAAAATTATGCTCCTGGAACCCAGTCGTTGCTATTGCCAAATATAACATGTAGCAAAAGCTCTAGAAATCCATGGATCTGTAAGGCACGGTGACTTCAGCCTCATCAGCATGCTGTTCCCACCACCTCCTCATTCACACTGAATGGGAAGACATGTGTGTGCAGGAAGCTGATTGACCACCGCGTATGCAGCATGCAGGACCATGATGTACCTTCCCCTAGACGGTGCTATGTGTGACCCTGCCACCCTTTTGTGAAGTGTAGGGGTACCATACCAATCAAGAATCTCTTGACTTGGTTCTGAGCTTTCCTATCTAGAATATTCTAATCTCTTTATAGTCTTGGTTTTTTTTTTTGTTTTTTTGGTTTTTCTCTGGTACCAGGAACCGAACTCACGACCTTGCACATGCCAGGCAGGCGCTTTTGCCGCTGAGCTAAATCCCCAGCCCCTCAAATCTCTTTATAGTCAAAACCTCAAGCGTCTCTAGAACTGTGTGGCCTACAACTATCTTGACTATTAAAGGTAGCAAACATTGATATAGTTATTAACATTTAGCATTATCTAAAACTACTTCCTTTTTCTATCATTAAAGCCTTGCCACAATTGAGACTGCTTTCCAGTCTGTGCAATGTCTTGAGACCTCCACTTGTTCATACAGATTTAGTGTCGGTTAATCCACAGCTGCCTGCACCTGAGGCTGCCTATCCACACGTTTCTTCCCTGATCACAGCACAGCCAGCATACCTTGCTAAGCCTCACCTCGGCTGACATCTTGAGGCCATCCAAGAGGCCAGCATTTGAGTGAGCCCTCCTCCTTCATTCTGTGCCTTTGCTCAAGTCTGCATCTATCACCACCCAAACGCCAGACCCTTCTTCGTTGAGGTGGGCATCCCTCTCCTTAAGACTTAGTACTGTACTCTCTTTGTACAAGAAGTAATTATTTTCCTGTAGTCAAAGCTACTCCAAATTTCAGATCAAAATTTCATGTGCCTTAAGGCTTCAGTCTTTTGCCCAAAGTGCTGCAATTAAAAGCTTACTACACATTTAGAAATATCAAACGCAGGATCCAATGTAAGCTTCCATAAACTACCAAGATCAAAACTCTGTGTACACATTAAGATCTGAAGCCTGAAACTAGCCTCTGGCGACTCCAAAGCCTCTCCACATGTACACAGCCCTCCTTTATTTTTTTCTTCCTTGATATACTGAATCCACGCAGCTAAAACTTTTACCTGTTAGATTCTCCACAGGACTTGCTGTTCCCATCCTACTCTTAACCCTCATCAATAAAGCCTATTCTTATATTTACAGCCTAAGAATGTCACTTACGAGTTTGTACACTCAGGCCAGATGTGGTGGTGCACGCCCGTAGGTAGCCACAGCTACTTGAAAGGCTGATCTAGTAGAATCCTTTGAGCCGAAGGAGTTACAGGCCAGCCTGGACAACAGGAGATTCCATCAATAAATGAATGAATGAATGAATATACACACTTGGCCAACAGCCCAGGTCCTCCTAAATTTATTTACATAAATTAACCTACCTCAGCAAAAACAAGAGAGACAGAAAAACTGAGTGTTAGACCAATGGTGCCTCCTTCAATGGAAACATCAGGAATGGAACTGGAGAAATGGAGAAGGCTGGGAGGGGAAGGGGAAGTAAAATTATGATGCATGTACCAATTTCCCAAATGGAACATAATTATTACAAACCATAAACATATACCAGTATGTTTCATTAGAAAGGGCTGGAGATGTACCTCAGTGGGAAGGTCCTGGGTTCAATTCCCAGCACCACAAAGAATTTGTATAAATTATGTACAATATGTTGTTTTGAAGTATGTACATATATGGAACGTTTAAATTGAGCTAATAGTTTTGTCAATGAAATGAAAGTGTTATCCTTAATTAACAAACAGTAAAAGCTCTCATTTTATTTGTAATTTTAAGGCATTTCAATATACTAAACTTTTTCCCTTTTAATCTTTTTGACAACCTTGAAGACTTACCAAATGCCACTTCACATGTGAAATTTTCTGATTTCTTTAAACAAAACTTCTTTCCTGAGGTCATGGCCTGAACATCAATCACAACAGTCACCAGAGCAGTTTGTTAAAACATGTATTCCTGAGCCCACCTCTACTATCCTAATCTCTGAAGGTAAGGACCTCAGCTATGCTTTTTATGATGTTCCCTGGGTGATTTTCTAGAACACTAACATCTTCTCAGTTTTTTGTTTTGTATGTGTCACTGATTAGTTTTTGCCTTATGATATTGTCACTAACTCTCCATAAGATCCTTGGAAGGAGGTTCCTTACGACAGACCATGCATATAGCAGCCACACTCAACAAGCTATTGGAATGAATTTAAGTAATTTTCACTTTTGTATCTCAAAAGGACTAGATAGCCTTCCATGTTTTGTCATGATAAAATATCTAGAAGAATGCAAACATGAATTATAAAGGAGTTCAATGAAATCTTTTACTCTGCATCATGATGTACTATCTTTAGTTTAGCCAGATTTTTGTTTTGAGTTGCCCAACTGCAATACACTGTAAATTTCTAAGCATCAATTTCCTAAGCAGTAAAGGCTGTTTCCTTAACATGTCCTATCATACTTTTAAATAATAAAATCAGTACAGTACAAAAGCTCCCTAAAGCCTTAATACAATTTCAGATTGCCCTGGGTATCATTAAAACTCATGCACTATTTTACAATCTGTATTGTATAATCATCTTGCTTACAATGACTATAGTCAAGCCATTTTCATTTTGCTACAGTCCAAGTCAGAAGCATTTTCTCTCAGCTCAGAAGGGTACCACTGTGTTACACTTAAAACACAGGATCCTTCCCATAGGCTCTGGGAAACAATTCTTTTGACTGTTGGTTTTCCATTATTTAAAAGATCTTACACTATTAGCTAACTGTTTTCCTTTAAAGGAATGTTTGTAATCCAGATTTTTAATTCTTAAGCTAAACTGCTTTATGAAGTCTACCTTACTATGGTAGGGACAGAAAACCTATTCTCAGGTATTCTGAAAAGTCATTTTCGTGTAACATCTTTAAGATAGATAAAACTCCAAGGGACATCTCTGCCTAAAGTAAGATAAATTTAAAATCCACACACTGTAGCTAATTACCACACTGAAAAAGTCTGTATCAGCAAAATGATTCACTGAAAACTCTGCTCCCTTATTTTCAAAATTTTTATTTCATATCAATTGGATATGCGACAAAAGTAATATATACTTGAGCCTGTCTCCCAAATAGATTTTTTAAGTTCATCAACCCAATCTTCCTCCAGAAGCAAATAAATATAAAATCAGCCGTATTACATCAACTATACATATAAAAATTTTAATTTAACAAGAAAAAATGTATTTGCACAGTTTAGCAGGTCCCATTATGTTGACAAACTTGGTCCATTTTCAAGGATTACCCGTTTCCTAAAGTAGATACTCAGTGGGTATTTTTACCCTAAAGAACAAAATGTGTGATTTAGCTTTTTTCTTGTATTTTTTTAAGAAGATACTCCATTTGTAAATTTAAGTTTGGCTGACCCTTTTTAGTCCTTTTGCTCAATATTTTGAAGACTTCCATTTTTTTCTTTTTGTAGAGCCTTTGAGCTTCTTCTCTCTCTTGTTTTCTCCTCTCGAATTCCTGAAATCATTAATATATATAATTTTCATTAATCACAAACACTAGATTCATTTTAGAACTTGTTTTGCAAAAGCTATTATCATGCATACTTTTAAGGTTTTTGTTTCTCATATTTTACGAAATGTGAGTAGTTTCCCAAATCTGAAGCAGTACACCATTTCCCTCACACTACATTTTGTGTAACACTGAGTAATGTAAATTGTATAATTTTATGAATTTATATACAAATAACATTAGATCAAAGACAGCAGAAGGAACCTATTTATATAATAATTGCCTTATTTAATTAAATCTACTAAGAGTTCGAGAGGACTTTTAGAAGTTACCTATTCTATCTTTTTACAGAACACTAACAATTTCATTTCCAGAAACCTCTATCTGGTATTATTTTTATCCTCTGAATTACAGGTTAAATTAAATAAACATTTATAGACTAATTACAAGATATGTGCAAAACATTATGCTAGACATTATGGATTTTGAACATTTAAAATATATCACATTCATTTGACCTAACATAGATTCAACTTTGAGTATAAAGAAATAGAATTCAAAGCTACAAATAATAACGAAACCACTGTTCATAATGTATATATCATTCTTACTAAATTAAATAAAAAAGTTGAAAAAGCTCTCAAGTAATGTAATAGACACAGTTTTCCAATCCTTCCTGTAACACATGTAGCCTCCACTAAACTCTTTATAGTTTAAAGATGTTTTCTCCCAAGCCATATGTAAAATCACAGTGTAGTGGATTCATTAAATACTTTTTATGCGGTTTATTATATTCACCTTACAGATGAGGTGCTGAGCTCAGTGAAATTGAAAGTAAATTCGTTCAAGATCATCAATAAATAGTAGGACTGGGTCTCAGATCCAGAATTTTTAAGTCCCCATCATGTTATACTTTATTACTTAAAATTATATTCTCATGGTATAGTATGTCACTTCTCTTAATAAGCAAAAAATCTAAAACTTATTTGTGTATTTAGGTATGTGAAGCACAGTTTACCCCTACAAGTTTCTCTGAACAAAATCATTTTCTAAAAATATCTTTACCATCAATTTTGGGTCTGTACTCAATACTCTTAAGAATTTAGATTTGTCAGGGCTGGGGATTTAGCTCAGTGGCACAGCGCCTGCCTGGCAAGCGCGAGGTCGTGAGTTCAATTCCCAGTACCAGAAAAAACAAAACAAAACAAACAAGAATTTTGATTTGTCATATATAATGGTGTTGGCTTTTATGTTAGTATTTAAGATCTGCAAGTTCTAAGAAACTTAATTTTCATGATTACAAAGCCCTACTTCTCAATAACAGAAATTTTAAAAGGATACTAAATGTTTAATAGTGTTAACAGTCCCCACTGCACTTCATCTGATACACTGACGACAGTGTAAAACGTGGTTAGAAAAGGTTACAATGTAACAAGTATGAAACAAGAGGTCCAGTATTTTCATGGAGAAATGTTTGTCTCACCTTAGTGTGCCATCAGATTAAGATCATGAAAATTTTAGATGTTAAACTCAGCTTTCTCAACTGCACATATTCTTTTTTTTTTTTTTTGGTTTTTCTCCGGTACCGGAAACTGAACTCATGACCTTGCGCTTGCCAGGCAGGCGCTTTGCCGCTGAGCTAAATCCCCAGCCCCTCAACTGCACATATTCTAAGGCACAAACACAAAAGAAACTGCATGGAGCGTTTGTGATTGGTAAGTGATACATTAATCAAACATTAATATAAAAACAACTGACCACAGCCTGTACTAGGTGAAAGTTTTGTTGAAGCTGTAAGTAATTTTTATTCATTTGGAAAAGTCTGTTAATTCTGTTTTGAGTAATAAAATGGCAACTTTCTGCTAAGTTAAACTAGTTGGTTTTTTGTTGGCCAGACCAACTCAGTATTTTATTCTAACATCTCCCCTCTGGCTTTTATTTGCTTCAAGGTAACTTCTATTACTAGTGAGTAATAGCTTTTAAATCCTATTCTTGACCTACTGGTATTACCTGAGAAAATATAATCAAGTAATTAGAATGACGTAAATGTCCACCTCTGGTCAGAGCAACTGTTCATTCAAGAGACCACCATGTCACCAACACCAAGAAGCACAGCTTGTACACATTTGAGATAAAATAAGAAATGTACCTAAACATTTTTAAAGTAGAACTTACTTGTTTCTTAGCAGCACGCTTAGCTTGTACCTGCTCATATTCTTCTTGTGCTTTCTGATTGGATGTTTTCTTTTTCTGTTTCTTAGAAACACTCACGGGACTTCATAAGATAAATTAAGACAAGTAAGTCACAAGTGTTAAAAATGACTCAGTCAAAATTCTGAAGCAATGGGTACTGCTTTTTACTATACAAGTACAATGTGGTATTGCTTTTTTTCTATACAAGTACAAATAGAGTACTTGAATAGTAAAACCTCATTAAGGCAAATTAAGGAGGGAAGGAGATGAGGAAACTATAATCTTTACTAGTGAAATGTCCAAGTAAAATATTAAAAACAGCTACAACTTTTAAAATTACAGATCAACTACAGGGTGTGGTAAACAGCGATTCTGAAGGATATTTAAACAGGAAAAATACACAAAGCTTTGAAAGACCCTAAAATGTTCAAGAATTTAAAAAATACTAAACTGAAAGATGTTAAGTTGTTGTGGGTATGAACTTTAATTTCAAAATTCTTCTAACCCCTTGTGTCTATTCTACTTCATCTACTTAGTCATGAACCACTGCCACGTGCCTAATCTTCATTTAGAAGCCTCTTTCTAAAGATGTTCACCTCCCTTCTGCTAAGCTTGACTCAACTACTTGGGGTTTCACTTATTTCCTCCAGATACCTGGATCAATAATAGCATTCCTTTCCTTGTCTCTCAACTTCCCACTATCCTCACGTCACAACTGCAACATATTTCTGTAGCTCCGTTGTTAAACAAAGCAGCTTCACTGTCCTCTTTTACCTGCTAACCTTGTTCTTTAACTTTTCACAGTCAAGTTTCCAGAAAGAATAGTCCACGCTTGTCACTTTCCAATCAGTGTTAACCATTAAAAATTTCTTCAAAATCATCATTAATTGCCTAGACCACAACCCAAAGATCTGTTCTCAGGCTTGTTTTCCACTGACTTTATAGTATTCAATAGCTGAACTATCCCTACTCTCACAGTTTTCTTATGCTGAATTTGCTGTTACCACATTCCCCGAATTCTCCATTTCTGACAACTTCATTTAACTTCTTCCATGACAACTTTTTCCTGTTTTTATCTCAAAACACAAATTTTGTAAAATACGTATTTCTCTTCTTTTGTGTCCTGACTTAACCCTTCTCATTTCAATCAGCACTGAGAATGACTCAAACATATGTTTCTCATGTTTATCTTTCCCCTGAGCTTTACTCACTATTTAATGATAAGCCTACTGAATACATTGGACTTTTAGTGTCTCTGTCTTCATCCCCAACTGTACTTTTTTCTGTGGTTCTATTTCCTGGTTTGTTTTGTTTCTTTCTTTCTTTCTTTTTTTAAGCACAAGTAACTCAAAACTCTAAAGTGCAAAATTTCAGTGAAAAAATTCTGGTCCTAAGTAATACCTAGTTTCTCTGCAAGTTTTGGTTTTATCCTGTTTTTACTTGATACAGGCATAGAATGTTTTGTAAATCAGCGCTCATAAAACTAGTTTGGTTTTATAAGCTGGGTAAATGGAGCTGTGCAATGTTTTTCTTAACTCCAACCCACTTGTCCTCTGCAGAAAATCCAGGTTAGTAACATGAGAAGTAGTAATAACACTCAGAGCCACTCACCGTGTATTACTCAGCCTTTTAAATTCCTGATATAAATGAACTCACTCATTGCAATGCCATGAAAGGCTTTAGGAACAACGTTTACCTAAGTGAATGATCCACCACACTGCTGTGGAGCACGGCAGCTCTCAACTACATACTTATTAGCCTTCTTATTTCAACACGCTGGCACACCAACATGCTAAGCCTGCATCTGCACTCCAAGCTGTTAATGACTACTCTCTTAATACTTTTCAAAAATTATTTTTTAAAAATATTAATGATAAGGGTTAACAACAGTACAAGTTATATATACTTGAGAGGCAGAAATCTAAAACTTAGACGTTTAAATTCTCATTTTGTTACTTCTTCAATTATGTTAAACTGACCTAACTTAGTGAAAGTTAAAAACCTCCATGCAAACATGCTTACCCAAACATACTTCTAAAATGGGTTACAGAAGAACTCCAATTCCTACACAAACTGTGACATATTACCTTGCCTAAAGCATGCATATTGGAAGGAAAAGACTGCAGCAGAAAGCACACACCTTACTGTTTCACTACACTGTTCTTCCGGCGGAGGTTGATGATGTTGGTCTTCAGACAAAGCACCACCAACTCTACACTGCTCTTCAGGCAAAGGCCAGTTGACTTTTTCTTCTGACAAAGGCTGGTCAGCTTTCTTTCGTTGCTTCCTGAGTCTCTCCTCTTCAGCTAAATAGAGATGTTTCAAGTGATCTGGGTACTGATCCGTGAATTGGGATTCCTGTGCTGTTCTGGTCTTCTTTTGCTTCCAGAGCAGTTTCTTGTAATTTTGCTGAATCTTCAACTTTCTCCGAAATGCAAAGCCTTGTCCTAGATTGACGTATTGAAGTCAAAACTACCGTCACAGAATATCAACAGAGCAAAAAATAAAGCTGCTAATTAAAAGCTGTTTCACAGTCTCAATTCTAGAAGTATTTTACTTTGCTTTTGAGGATTAGGTCAGGGAACAAATTTAAGCTGATAGACCAACTACCAAGTTTACAAAGAAGGCTAAACTTAGTCAACAGCCCCCACTCCCGTAAAAAACCTCAAAGAAAAACTGACCAATTAAGACTGTTGTACCGTAGTTTCAAATCCAAACAAATTTCCTAGATCACCTAAAACAATTTGGGTCTGCAATAAATACTTAATAGAAAAAAACTCTTATTTTATCTCAGAGATTTATTTTCCAAAATACTTCAAACACGAACGAAGACAGGGCACGACTTTGTACACAGCTAGCAACGACCGTCAGACCGGACTCAGAGGACAATCCCACCTTCGAAACGGGGCCTGAGAGCCGCGGCGCAGGCGGACACGAGGCCGACGCTCGCGGGGCTCTCAGATCCCCGGGCTCGGGGCCACCTGCAGCCCGCGGGGACACACGGCGCGCGACCCCGCGGAGGGGCGCGGCGGGGAGGACATCACAGAAGCACTGCCCGCCTTCCCACCCCGAGCAGCCCGGGAACAGCTTCCTCCGCCGCCAGCTGGCCCCGACCCGGCGCCTAACGCCCCTCTGCAGCGCCCGCAGGTCACACAGCCCAGGTCTCGTGGGCCCGAGGACTGAGCTGGTGGGCTTCTCACCCTCGCGAACGCTTCCCGCGAAGGCCTGTGGGTGGTTAGGCCACCAAGTCCTCCGTTTCACATTCTTAGTCTTCAATCCGCCCGAAGAAAGCCCTTCGCCGCGCGCTCCCAGATCCCTCGTCCGCCACGGCGCTGCCGGGCGCGCAGGCGCCATCTTGCACCAACTGCACAGAAGGAAGATCCACGGACGCCCCCAAAATGCGTCACCAGGCAGAAGCAATCGCTCGCCCAACTACAGTCCGGCTCGGAGCTCTGCTTGTGCTGTCTGTACTACCTCCGACAGAGCCGTCGCCGCGCCGCCACGTTTGCGCCACCTACAGCCCGGGAGGGTGAGCGTCATGGCGGCTTTTTGCCCTCTCCCGGTGACCCAAGACCTGCCCACGCTGCGTGCCAAGTTGCAGGGGCTGCTGCGGTTCCTGAGGGACGCCCTGTCCATTTCCAACGCACACACAGTGGACTTCTACACAGAGTCCGTGTGGGAGAGGCTGGTTGACTTGTCTCCGGAGACTGTGCTGACCGCATTGAAGTCGGCGGCGACTGCGCGGGCGGAGGCCGGGCTTTCTGAGGCGCGCCCCCTGGTGGAATCGGAGAACGGATCAGGTGAATGGCGGCCATGTGGAAAGGGAAGGCAAGCAGAAGTTACCGGCCTGCGGATTGCACCCTCTGGTGGAAGCCGATCGGAACCTCGTGAGCGGCGGACGGAAGCGGGGCGGAGCGCACTGGGAGTGGAGCGGAACTGAGGGCGGAGCGCACTGGGAGTGGGGCGGAAGTGGGGAGACGTGCACTGGAGTGGGGCGGAAGCGGGGCGGAAGCGGGGCGGAAGCGGGCGGAGCTTACTGGGAGCGGGGCGGAAGTGGGGGCGGAGCGCACTGGGAGTGGGGCGGAAGCGGGGCGGAACGCATTGGAGTGGGGCCTCAGTTGGAAAAGCAACTGGGATCACAGTAGGGGAGTGGGGCAGGCCCCCTTCGTAGGGTCGCAGCTCAGAGAGTTGGTGTTGCCAAAGTTCAAGGAGAATGAGCGAGGCAAGGGCATTCGTTCATTTAGCAGTTCTGTCATGTTTTGGCTCGAGGGCAAGGAGAGGAACAGGTTCCTCACAGGGTTTTATAGGGTTTTAATGGGGACGTGGCAGAAGAGACATCAACAGTTAATGAAATAAAGGTAGTTTCACTCGGTGGTAGCGGTCAAGTAGAAAATGAAAACAGCGTGAGGTGATAAGGATTGGTCAGGCTGGATTTGGCAGAAGCGGCTGCAGTGAGGGAGCGAGCTGGGTCAGGTCGCGCAGAACTTTGAGGGTCTGCCGTGGAGTTCGGAGTCTGAGCGTGCTGAGGTGCTTTTGGAATCCTTGAGCAATATAGTGAGCTAAGCTAATACACATTTGGGAAAAGATAACTCGGAGTTATTTGGAGATCAGACTACCTGTGGTGCCTTAAAAGAATAAGGCGAGAGGACAATGGGAAGACAGCACAGGAAGGAAGTGATCGTATCTTGGGTTAGGATAGAAGCAGTGAAATCTCGAATATTCGGTAACAGTTCATTTCTAAAACTGTTTATACTATGTATGTTGCATGCCATGAATGTTTGTAGGCGTGGGGTTTCCTGCCCTCGAACGCTTAGGTTCTACCCAGATGTATAATTTGGAAACAGAATGACAAAAGGACACCGGCAGCTCCCAGAACTTTTCCTAGCTTGCTTTTAGGCTTTCCAAACGTTGCCCTTTGTAGGCTTATTGGTGGAGATTTCTGTAAGTGCAAAGCACCGCTGGAGGGACCGTGCATAATAGCGTTTGGTAAATACTGCTTCCTCCAAGTCACTACTGTTGAACATTTCGGCACCTCTTCCGTTTGCTCTTATTATATCTCGTCCTTGGGTTAACATGACAGCTTTAGCCGAACTCAGAGCAGAAACCGTGTTTGTCTTGTCAGCTGATGTCTTCTCAGCACCTAGTAAAGTACTTGGCATGCATTAAGTACTTAGGAAGTATTTGTTGAAGGAATGAATGAACGGTTCTTGTTAGCTTTCAAAAAGTAAGAAAGAAAGAAAACATACTACTGTTAAATGTAGAGTCCAAGGTTTTCATGTGAACTTAATGTAGTCTCCGTGAAGTGGGGGAGTGAGACGACCTTACATGTCATAATAATCAGGTTGCATGTTATTGCACATTCTGCAGGGTGGTGTGTTTTTATGGATATGTTCTCTTTTAGTCCTCACATCAGCCATGTAAGGTGGGTTCTGTTACTTTCAATTTATAAAACTGCAATTTAGGTTAATTTGCCAGAGAAGCCTTTAAACGTGGCTCATTTGGCCCCAGAGTCTGACCTTTTTATGTCCATGCCAAGTCTACTCTGAATTATTTAGCAGTTAATTACCAAGTTATTTTATTATCAAGATCATCATTTAAAGGTACACTAATGCTAACCCTTGATTATTTTATGTTGTCTCTCTCCCCTTGAAGAATGTGAGACTATTTTTTCGCTGCTGCTTTATCTCTAATGCTTAGAGCAATGACTAGTCAGAAGGCTAATAGGTATTCTGTCAATCTTAATTAAATGAATGAATGAATGAATTTGTTCTCTTACACTGGAAATAAATGCAAACATCTTTTGGGAAAAGTTTACAACCACCTTTTTTTTTTTGTCTATCCAACAACCATGGAGTCAAGACTAGATTGTTAACCTTCGGCTGTCTCTAGAACTAAAACTGTTTTATACAAAATATTCTATTATACAAATTGTTAGCTGCTTCTATTATTTAAAGAGAACGCATTCTTGTAATATCTGTGTATAACAAATCTTAATTTTTGTTTATGGAAAGAGTGATTTTTCCCCATCACTGTATGAGGTCCTTTTTTGTGTTGGAGATCATTAACTTTTGACTAGATTTGTGTCTTATCAAAGCATTGTTAGCTACTGTAGACAGTATGAGTTCGCAGTTAAATTTGTAAATGTGAAGTCAAGAGTTCAAATTTCCCATCTACTTCAAATTTCCCATCTAATTTCCCATCTACCAATCTGTGATTTGGGGGAAATTTAGTTTTCCATTCAACATTTACCAGGTGCTAAATATGTGCCAGGAATTTTTCTGGAAGTTAGGGAACGAGCAATAAACAAAACAAAAATCTTTCCTTCATCTTGCTTGTGTGCTAGGAGAAGGAGGAAATACCGCCCTGCCCCCAAAGAAGTTTTAAGTGTCATGGATAAAAATAGCTAAGGAAGGAGAAAATAAAAAGAGATAGAAAAGGAAAATATGCTTTGTTTTATGCAGGTTTTCCTGGCAAGACTTCATTGAAGTTACTGTACAAGGAAAGACTTAATAACTAAAGAAAAAAGAGTGAGCCGTGATGATAACTGGAGGAAGAGAATGCCAGCTTGTGAGAGTAGAGAGTGCAAATGCCCTGAGGTGGGTGAATACCCAGTGTGCTTAAGGACAAGCAGGAAATAATGAGCACAAATAGAAATATATGAGTCCTATTGATGGCCTGCCAATCATTCCCCTACCTACTTAAGTTTTTCAAATTAGGTCAGATGTTTTGTTTGCATAGTATAAATTATTGCTGCTGTAAGTCAGTAAGGACCACTGATGATAGAAATGAATTTAAACTTACTGCTATTTAAAAGGAAAGGATAAGCAATCTTTGAGCATCTCTTGTACGATCTCAGCAAAGTCAGTATTCTTCAAAATTTGCTGTGGTCATTAATATAGCTACGAATAGGTCAATCATCTCTAAGCCTTCCAACCAAGGTTATTATTCCAACTATGATTATTTTTATATTCCGAGTTGTTTTTGCAAAAACTACTTAGTGTTTTCTCAGCATAGCACTGAACTAGGTGTTGTGGGTGGATGCAGCAGTGAAGCTGTAGTCTCTGCAAAGCCATTGGTACATCCCAGTGCAGGAGATACAAGGTATCAATAATTGTATAAAACAAAATGAAAAGATGAAGTGTTCCATTATATGCAACATTTTATTCTATTCTCTTCCCATTTGACATGGTCTGAGAATTATTTACTAAGTTACTATATTTTTTCTCATTATGTGGTATATGAAAATCCTATGCTGTTAAGCATTACCCTGGAACTGCTTTTTTATATGATTTAATTTCTAACAATATGACAGTGCTTTTATCCCAAACTAGTTGATTTCATTTTCCAAGTAAGTCTTTAACATTTTTTAATCTTTGAAATTAAGAATGTGTGTATATCTCAATTGTTGAGTTGCTTTCTAATTTTTAAAATTCTTTCTAATAAAATTCTATTCCCTCACCCCAAGTCAAGCTGTTCTTCATTTATTTTATTCTTCTCCATGTGTTCCTAAAACTTTTCAATGCCATTTTAGTGGGAACTGCACTAATCTTCCATGACAACTACTTTACATAGTAGGCGCTCTCAGTTAATTTATGTTTTACCTAATTTTTATTTAGCAAATGAATTTCTTAATTCCTATTTCTATGTGTATTTTCCCCTCAAAGTAAGCTATAAAAAAAGTCTGTTAGAGTTAAAATACTATGTTAAAGTTTTCCATTCTTAAATTTGATTTCAGTTTTATAAATAATGTACTTAAATATGAAAATACTTTTGGCATGGTAAATGTACTTATACATTCAATGTGATGTTAGTATTGGTACAATAAAGACAGCATGTCAATTCTGTAGTCATTCCGAAAGCATAGTTTGCATGTTTAAATAACATATTTTTTCATTTCATATGTAACTATAAATTAAGTATATATTAATTAAGTATATAAATTAAGTATAAATTAATACACCTTCACTGGAAGCGCTTAGGTGAAAAGTTTCCTAGCATGCAATTAGGAGATATAAATTAACTTCTTTTAAAACAATAGTATATATTGTTTTCTTCCTGGGTACATTATAGGATGATGGATGGACTCAAACATTCATAAAATTTAATTTATCTTTAATTCGTAGAGTTTGGTAAGACATATTTTAAACTTTGGTTAAACTCTATTAAGCAATTATCAAAGATACAAGCCAAAAAACAACTACTGTAGAAGCCAAAGCCTTAAAATGTTTGATTTGATTACATTTCTTGGGGATAAAAATAAGTTTCCATTCTAGAAAACATACCCAGGGGCCAGAGATATAGTTCAGCAGCACAGTGCCTGCCTGTGGCAACTTAAAGGTCCTGAGTTCGATTCCTGGTACCAAAAAAAACGATATTCAGTGTAGCTCACCCAACACTTACTGAGCATTGTATTAGGGGGTTTTATCAGTAAAGAAAATGTCACCTCTACAACCACTGCAGTAGCACTGGGGAGACTTAATAAGTTGGACCCACAGTTGTGATTGGAGGAGGGGTATTCAAATGAAAGACTTTTCTTTCAGTATGGACGGGTGGCTGGACATGTGGACTGAGGACACAAGAAACACTTACAATGATGTAAGATACTTAACTTTGACAGGGGATGGAAATGCTTTTTAAAAAGAAAGGAGAAAAGGGGCTGGGGATTTAACTCAGTGGCACAGTGCCTGCCTGGCAAGTGCAAGGTCGTGAGTTCAATTCCTGGTACTGGAACAAAAACAAAAACAAACAAAAAAAAACAAAAACAGAAAAAAAAAGAAGAAGGGAAAGATTTGAAGAACGTGAGAAAATTCAGTTCACTTTTCAACTTTTTGAATTGAAGGAATCTATAGGATATTCTTGTAGAAGTTAATACAAAATATCCCTAGGTCCCTGAGAAAGTTATTATTCAAAAAGAACTGTTGATAAATTCTGGACTATACATTATGTGACATTAATAGCGTCCCGCAACCCTGCAACACGGTTAAATCTCAAAACTTAGAACATAACTGCCTTTTCTCTTTTTTCACCTTCTGAATGTTCTAAATCACTTTTGTCATAACGAGATTGTAAGAACTTGGGCTGAAATAAGGTTCTGTGCTTCTCTAACAGGCTCAGTGGTGCTATTGAAGTCCTGGTGGCCTCTGATTACAGCCACCACAGAGTCTTAGGGGAACTCGTTTCTCCTTGTGTAGTTGGTGATGCTGCAATAGTAAGTGCGCTGACGTACCGCTGTCATCCGTGCATGCGTTCGTTCGTTCATTCATTCACTCATTCATTCATTTGTGCTATGTGTGAAATACTTGTTTTCCAGTGGGATTAAAGCAGGGCTATTACTTTGTGTTGCAATTAGCACAGTAAAGTCATATAAAATATTTTATTTTTCAGAGATTTATCAGTTACTTTATATGTAAAGATTATTCTTAAGCTTTGGAAACTTTAGTACCACTTTTGGTGGAAAGGGACATTGTTAAGCAAAGTGAGGAAAGTGGTCATAAAGAGCGAGTGGGAGTATCTTACAGTGTTTTCATATATTGATCTCTGCTAAATGGAATTCTTGCAGCTCTAATTCTGATAGTCAGGTCCCACTGATTTTCTCCACTGCCGTTTTGCCCGGTATCTTCCATTGTCTTCTGTATTTAGTAATGTGGCATGCTCATGAGTGTCAGAGCAAGGTCCATAGTCACTTGGTGTACAGCCGTGCCACTTAGTGTCTGTGTAAACCTGGGTGAAGTATGCCCTCACTAAGTCTCAGTTTTTGCCCTTTACATAGGGATAAGGTAGTAATTTACTAGCATCTGTCACATAAAAGGCTAAAGTGCCCAGCACAGTGCCTGACACATAGTATATATGCAGTAAATGGTCACAGTTGTATTGATGAGTTATGAGCCCTGACAAGTCTCATCTTTCTTAAAGGGTTGTGTGAGGTTCAACTAAGATAAATCACTTTAAAGACAATCACATAACACTTACTTTTACAATTTTATTTTTATTACTTTTTAATATCATACATTCATTCATTGGTTTTGTTTTTAGCTTCGAAATTTTGTTGTGCATTTGTTTGCCTTGAAATTTTTCATATGTGACTTTTCTGTTTTTCCTTGTACATTGATCTCTGATGTAAAAAGATTATAGCGATATTTATAGAAAATGACCTTCCCTGCCTCTTCTCTAATTAACTTGTCTTGTAAAACTGTCCTGTAACTATAAGAAACATCTGTGAAATAGTGGTAGAGGTTACACACCAAAAAGTTAAAACCATGTAAAGGCCTGAAGAACGTATAATAAAGCAGAGCAGCAACTTTCAATAGAGGGCAATGTGGGCAAAGTAATCAACTCACATAATATTCAGGCGCAGTGGGCAGCAGATTTTAAAAGTTTTCCCTGTGCTTCAAAAGAAAATCCGAGTATTAACTAAATTTCAGTAACGCCGTGGTTTCTGTTTTACTAGTTGTCAGTCTCAGGCTGAGTATTCACGCATCCAGGGAAGCGCTGTGACGACTCGACGCCTTTCCCATCGCCACAGACTTCCTCAAACACTGTTTCAGAGTGGAAGTGAAGACAAGACCATCAGCACTTCTATTTCCCTCTGAATCTCTAAAACATAACAGGGTCGTGGAAGGTACAGGCTGCATTGCTTGAAGAGCAAACCCAAAAATACAGCAGCCATATTTCCATAATTCAACAATATTTTATTCATGATGGAGTTCTGGACCATATAAACTGTTGTTAGCCCTAATGACAAACCACTGGACTGAGTCAGAACACTTTCCTTTTAAAAAAATTAAGCACTGTGGAAAGGATACTATTCTAATTGAGATGTCCAAATTTCTAAAATTAATGGCAGGTCTATAACTCAAAGCAAACTAACAACATGAGTTCAGGTTGGTTTGGAATCTTTTCAAGTTTAAGTTGAAAATGGTTAAGTTGATTTGAACCTTTGCTTTCAACAGAAACATCACATTTCTTTCTGTTGGCAGCACTGTCCGAAAACTGACTATTATAATGATCCCTCTGCACACTGAGATTTAATGCTCTTATTCCATCACACTCTGAGCAATTGCCCGAGAACCGGGGATGTTGAGACTGCTCTTAAACCTGAGAGCCTCACGTAGTATTTGATTGAGTTTTCCCCTCTGTATCGTGCCTAAATATTTTGATGTGGGTTTTATTACTTTTGGCTGCAGAAGTAAATTCAGTTTGTAAATTGTCCAACGAACTTTATATAATACATAAAATACTCTTAAATTCACTATAGTATTTTTATCCTAGTTTATATTTACTTGATTCAAAGCATAGAAATTATGCATCTCTGAATTTCTTCTTGTCAGTGAATATGGTCCACATTATCACTACCAACTTGAGGTAATAGCCTTTTAAAAAGTCATTAGCTTAAAAAATGGAACTTTTACTTAAAATTCTGTAGGCAATCATCAGTTATCTTACTTTCTGATTTTGTCAGATAGTATCATTATTCTTTCTACATAAGTGGATTTGTATAATTTCATAACCATGAGGATCATCAGTCCTATAGAAGACTTCATGGCATATAGTAATTTTTTCTTCTTTTAGTAAAACCAAAGTTCTTACCTAGATTGTGCCATTTTTTGGGAAAGGTGAGCATTTTATATAGCTCAGTTAGACACTCAATTTTTTTGTTCTTAGTTTTTTAAGAATAATTGTCAATAAATAGACTTACTTGGCCCTCATCATCCTGAGTTTCTTTGAACTACTCCAGACAAATTGGAATGACTTTGTTAAACCTCACAAATAACTTGACATTCCTTGAAAATGACCATAGAAAAATAACATTGAGCCTATCTGTCAGGGCATCATGTGTTCCAATAGAATAGGCAGTTACGCAGTCATATTAAGCTTAAATATTCAGTGACTGCAAACAATGAAGTTTTATTTTTATTCTATGTCTTTTATAGCTAGACAATACTTCTGTCTTTGTCCTGGTCATTCAAACTCAGATTGTGGTGGGTTCCATCTTCACAAAGACAAGCTAGGAAAAGTTACAGTACTGTTAAACTTCTCCTTAAGCATGGGATAGTTCATTTAGCCAAAATATAGCCACACCTGAGTTTAATAGGGTACTTAGAAGAGCACAAATGTTTGTAAACAGTTCAACAGTTTACCACACTCTTCTAAATTTGTGAGCAGTTTAAAAACTGTCCACAGTTCCTATACTGTATTTATAGAACATCTGGTACACTGACAGTGCCTTGAACACATGCGAACACCCCACACACAAGTATAGATAGTCCAGATGAGGCACTGTCTTACAGTAACATTTGTACCGCTGAGGGTTGTTATTGCTGCTCCATAGGCAGTGTGGATAAAGAGTAACAATATTGCAAGGGCTGGGTTGACTTTTATAAAATGAACAATTGTAGGTCAGAGAAGACTGTCTAAAAGTTTAATAACTATATTACTCTTCAGATTTAAAAATTTGGGAGGAAGGCTCTTGGAACGGAAAAAGCCAAATTTTAATGTGACACTTAAATATATCGTGAAGAAAATGTTAAAACTCAGTGCCACAAATAGTTAAGAGTTTAAATAACAGGTACAAATGGAACTATTTTTACATATTGCCACAATTTGCCCCACAAATGAAAATACGTAATTTGCCATAAAATTGTTGTTTATTAAATTCTCATACAGATTAACTATCCACTGTGTAATTATTGCTAATTTTCTTTTTCTATCCTGACGTTGTAGGTATTACTGATTTTCCCAGAATGTTTTGTGAAACTTCTCAGAGGCTAGTGAATGTGGAGGCCTTTGCTCTGGCTGCAAAATGTTGTTCTATACAAAACTTGGGAATCTGCACTCCTTTAGAACAGCTGCTCATAGCTCTTCGAGGAAATAAAAGACAGAGGACTGGTATGTGCATTTGTGTATGTAAGTATATATGTCTTTTAGATACTTTGAAGCAATATATTACTCATCTATGTGTATTTTTGCAATTTCATTTGTTATTAAACCTTATAGACCCTGGTAAATTAGGTCATACCTACAAAAGTGGCTTTTCTCATATATTAAACAAAACAGTTTATAGATTTCTGCATTTTTTCTGACTATGTTTTCTTCAGCTAGTTGCTGCCCCCCAAACAGGACTGCAGAGGGCGAATTCAAACCCCAAACCTTTGCCTTCCTTTGTTGCACTGGGCTGGTGTTCTCTATGGCTAATTCTTTGGGAAAAGTCTAAGGAGTACACAGGGACATTGGGGGAATGAGGAAAACTTAGTATTAAAAAAATGTGGAAGGCACAAATTAAAGCACAAAAAATATAATAGATTAAAATTCTGCTGTATAATATATTAATTGTAAGGAGACTGTACACCCCATTAAAAGAGATTAGAAGACTGATTTTTAAAAAAGGTAGTCTTCAATGTTGAGGTAGAAGGTGCTTTAATAACAATAATCAAATAATAATTGTGTTTATAAGAAAATAATGAACCTCAGATCTTCTTTACTATCTATTATCTCATTTGATTCTCATTTCCTCACGTTTTTATTTTGCAAAGGTTAAAACCTACAGAGAAGTGTCAAGATAGTACGGTGAGCCCTGTATACTTTTCTCCTAGGTTTACCATTTGTTAAAACCTTGTCACACTTGTGCCTCTCCTTTACATACACATCCACACACACATTTTTATCTAAGTCCTTGGGTGTTTCAGCATGTATCTCCCAAGAACAAGGACATTTTCGTACATATTCCACATCACATTTGCACATTCTGGGCTTCAGTGCCACTACAATAATATTATCTAATAAGCAATCTATATGCAAGTGTCTCTGAGTTGTAAAAGACTACTTTATAGACCTTTTTCCCTTCGTGTAGGAATCTGTCCAGGCTCATGCATGACATTTAATTGTAATGTTTAATCTCTTCAATTTAGAGTAAGTAGTTCCTCAGCCCTTGATTTGTTTTTCCTGACTGATACTTTAATGCGTAGAGATCAAGTTTGTTGCTTTCCTCAGATTAACATTTACATTATGCGTTTTTGACAGGATTATTAGTTAAGTGATTCCTTTTTCATGTATCACTCTAAGAGGCACATATCATTTTGTCCCATTATTTGTGATAGTCATCACTTAGTGAAAGTGGATCTTTCGGAGTTCAGCATTGTAAAGGGAGCTTTCCCTCTTTTGAGTCCAGTTCTTTAATTTTATTTTAATTTTTTATTTTGTCTCTAAACTTTTTAAGCAAAATTATTTCATGGTATTTCTCCTGGAGCAAAACAAAGAGCAATTTGGTAAATCATGGACCTTGGGTCCAAATGAGTTTTCCAGCAACACTGCTATGGGGCTGTAGTCCACGGCATCTAAAGCACTAAGGATTTACCCCAGCTGTTGTTGGCTGGCGTTAACTAAATGGACCTCTGCATCAAGGGTAACACTCACAGCTCTTCCCCCTCTGTTTAACGTATAAGGATTACAGTTTGAGCATCAGGGTAAATAAGAATATATCCTTGGCTGAAATAAACAGTGAAACTACCAGGCGATGTCTGGATGAACTCTATCTTATTATGCCAAGTATTAGGTAGAGTTACTTTGGCAAGCAGGGCTACATGCTGGTGATAGGTGAGGATGGAGGGCACATATTCCTCATCCTGGAATACATCAGCTTATTTGTTTATTGAGATTATTTGTTTGCATCAGCTTAGTTATTTGCTTGTTTGTCAGCAGAATGGGATTGTTTGTATTGTGAAATCTAAACTTCTTAAAAAGAGCATGTCCTAAAATACCCTCGGTGTATTACCAGGAAGGTGCTTGTTGCTGTCTATGAAACCCTAAGAAACAACCGCTTGTACCTGGAAAGAACTTGTCAGTAAGGTTCTCACTGTTGTGCAGCACCGTGATGCTGGGTTAGTCAGCGGCCAGGCTTCTCTGACGTGAACTCTGTCCTGCTGTCATAACCTTACCACCTCATTGAAATTTCCAACAGGCCCACTCTTGCGTGTCTGATAATCTTGCCTATCTTGTCATATGCTTTAGCCATTTTAATGTGCTTTATAAAGTGCTGTCCTCTTCAGGGAGAGAAATTTTGTACCGGTGGCCCTCAGTACAGTGGAAACTAGTCACATGTGACTTCAGGCGTGACTAGGGCAGCTCAGACACTTACACTGAAATTTTGTTTGAGTTATTTTCAATGTAAATTTAAATAATCACATGTGTTTAGTATCTACTGTATTGGCTAATACAGGTAGTAAAGTAACAGTTCAAATTTTTGCCTGTTTTTCCTCCTGTGTAATCTTTTTCTTTCCAATTTATAAATGTTTGTTTTGTTTTTGTAGCAATTCCTACTGGGAATATCTTTTCCCATGTTGTGGGTTTCACTCTGTTAAAATTGTCTTTTGATAAGAAAGTTTCTTTTGTAGTACAGCTTACCAGCCTTTTCATTTATAATTATTTGCTTGTTGTGTCAAGGAACATTTTTAGTAAGTCTGTACATCTTATTTTGTTAACTCAGATTTGATTCACAGCATCTGAACTAGTAGACACAGTAGTCTTTCATTTTCAGACTTAATTTTTAAAATATGAACATTAACTGATAATTTTTTAAATGAGCATTAACTGATAATTTTGCTTCAGTGGAATTAAATGTTACTTTAATAGCAGCAGTCTTGTTTTTCTTTCATTCAGGTGAAAATCTGAAGCCAAATGAGTTTATGAATACGAAAAAATCTCATGAAGTTCAGACAATGTCAGAGCTAATCTGCAGTATTGCTGATTACTGTGGAATAAAACAAGTAAGAGTATTTATTTCTCTGTGTTTTTAGGTGTTAAAGTATTGCCCCTTTTTGATATCAGTAATTTATTTTTGTTATTACCTAGTCTTGAAAATGTCCTTAAGTAATAGCATCATTTAAATACTAGATCTTTCAATATATGTTATTTCCTGGTATGCTATAACTGTAACGCATTTATAGTAATAACCGGATATAACTTAGTGTTCTGCCACCAATTTCACTTTTCTGAATGGATACAAGCTAAGGATAATTGACTTTGATGAGTTGTAACTCCATCTTGAGGCAGAATCGTAATGATGACTTACTCTAGTCTTGTTTGCTGCTAGGTGTTCTCAGAATGTGAGTTGTGGTCTGGGACACTTTGCTTATTATAGTAAGACAAAGAGGTTATATTTTTAGAATTTAGTGTCTAAAAATTGTATTTCTTATATACCTACAAAAAGCTCTGTGGAGGTGATGGAGGACTTTTCCTCCTTTAGTGTTTATTGGTGTTAGAGCCTCTCCTGTGGATTTACCCAGACTCATGAATCAGAGAATTGGGAAGCTGTTTTAGGTTGGGCTAGTCATGAGGAGCCACTCGGGGTAACCTAGACCTCTGGCTTAGAGGTCGGGCTAGGACCTAATGGAGTAGTTCCCAACCTTTTCTTCAGTGTGCCAGACCTGTGCAATACTTACAGTGTCCGTAACCAACTTACCTTGACAGTGGTTCTTAGTTGGAGGAGCAAGGGCAGGTTCACCCTCTCCTCAGGTGTCTCCCTCTGATGCCTCAGCTGAATGCAGGGGCAAGTGCTGTTTCTAAATATGCCCTAAATGTCTACCAGTATCCACTATGGGTAGTGATGATGAGAATGGACTGCAGAGGAGCAAATGGGTAGTTTACTTAGCATTGAAAGGGGCGTAACAAGGTTAGACATTTAAGGTATCAGTTAATAACAGCAAGTCCACTAAGATAGAGAACAAAGCCCTGATGATAGAAAATTCAGGCAACTGGCATTCAGGTGAGCTGGATGAGGACTGGGTTCATATAGGATAAGTATTTAGATGCAGAGCAGAAGAATGGAATAAGGTCCATTCTTTGGGGGAAAAGTCTAAAAGAGCAAGAACAACAGCATCCCAAAGAACTGGAGTCAGATTCTTTATAGAAAACAAGATCAAAACCCTAATCATTTAAATTTGGGCTACAAAGCAAAGCAGGAGAAATACAGAAGTGGCAAAAAGCATAATTCATACACTGTGAAAAGACTTCAGTTAGGATTCCTGTGGGCTTAATTTTATAGTGTTTTCTTTCTTAACTTACAGTTAAGTCTTGTTGAAAGATTTGCATCTGACATGACCCAAACTAAAATGAAGGGTGTTCATTTTGTGTTTCACGCTTTACATATATACTGCCTTTATTCTCTGTTAGTACGAAATACTGTGTAATACCGGTTAATTTTAATTTGATAGATTTATTTTTAAAGTGCACAGAAAATATGTTTGAAATAACTTAATGTATCCTGCTTTAAGGCAACTTTTCTTTTAGCAGTGCTAATTAAAATTACCAAAAATTTATGACTTCTGATAAGGCCCGGATTAGTCAATCCATTTTAGAGTTTCCTTGGCAAATAAAAACTTAAGGTTTTTTGTAAGATCACTTATTAGCAATACTATTTGATTTTCTCAATGTTTAATTACATCATATGTATACTAATTATACATTTAAAATTTAGATTTAATAAATACAGATTTCAGAGATGGAGACTCAGATTGTGAACTACTGTATCTTAGCAGTGGCCGTAGAGAATCCGATCAGAAAAAAAGAAAAAAAGTTCATTTCTGCTTCAGTCATATTATTCCCTGCATGACCAAAACTGATTTCTCACACTCACATTTCTGAGGCTTTTTAATTTTTATTTCTAAGACATGTTTATCTACTCCTACTTCCCTACTTGATATATTCATGCATTTACCCTGCTTTCTTGGCTTCTACCATGTGTCAGAAGCACTATTACTGAGCCTCCAGCCAGGAATAAATAAAAATACTTTCATCTTCATGGTGTTTATATTCTAATAAGGAGAGAGATAATAAAAAGATATATATTGTTGTATATGTTGGTGTATTTTAAAGAGGAATGAAATAAGGAAGAAAGGAAAAAGAGGAGTTAATATTCCAATGGATGGGACTTACTCAATGGCACTGAAGTGGGAATAATTCTTGAAACAGCCAGGAAGCCAGATTGACTGCAGTAGAACGAGCAGGATGAAAATAATAGGAGCTGAGATTGAAGTGAAAGAGGACAAGCTGTGAAGTTTCAGATTCGTAGGTGCCGCTGTGATGACTTAGGATTTATCCTGAAATAGATGAATCATTTTTTCTGTTGTGTTGTGTTATAAAGGAAACATTTTCACTATCTTTGACTCTATTTCACAGATGCCTTTGCTTTTACACATTTAATTCAACTGTTTTAAAATTTTACTTTCAGATTGTTTATTGCTACTGTATTGCATGTTCTCATGGCTCATTTTTAATTTCTATTGGCTTTGTACGCTAAAAGATTGGTAAATCTACCTACTGTGGGTTAGCTTTCTTTATATAGTCTTCAGGATTTTCTGTGGACACACTCATATGAGAAAGACAATTGTACTTCTTCCTTTCCAATTCTTATGTATTTTCCTCATGCTCATGATTTAGTATACTAACTAGAACCTCCAGGATATGTGGAGTAAAAATTACCAGAGTGGTTGGTTTTTGATAGAAAAATAACAAGCATCACAGATTATGTAAATTGTATAATTCATTTGTTTACTTGCTTAAAAAATTATATATATCATGCATTTTATTACCAACTGACTAAAATCCTATAATTTATTCTGTTTTTCTTATTTCAGGTGATTGACTTGGGTTCTGGTAAAGGCTACCTAAGCTCCTTTTTGTCCTTGAAGTATGGCTTAAATGTTTATGGAATTGATTCCTCAAATAGCAATACCCATGGAGCTAAGGAGAGGAACAGGAAACTAAAGAAACATTGGAAACTGTACCGTACTCAATCAAGAGTAGATGCGAATGGTGGACTGGCATTAAAAATGGCAAAAGAAAAAAAAGTGCAAAATGAAATGAAATACAAAGCAGATACTGAGAAAGTGTGTAACAACAATTCTGCAAAACAAGAAAAGGTGTCTACCTCAGACTTTTTGCCAGGTCACTCGGGCTCTGTAATTTCTGACATCAGAATACAAATGGAAAACCTACAAACTCAACCGTATGAAGAAGAAAATTTGTGTTTTGTGAATGCTTTTTCTCTCATAGACTTTTTGCCTGTTGATGCTGTAGAGCCTATTTCTTCACTGCAGATACCCAACGCAGAAATGTCTGAAGCAGCTAGAGGGAGAAGAAGAATGGTACCACAGTCAAATGAATCAAATATATATTCACCGTTAACCTCTTTTATCACTGCTGATTCGGAACTACATGATATTATTAAAGATCTGGAGGTGATTTCACTTTTGACTCCTTTCATTTGATATAGAAATGCTTTAAACGTAGAATTCAATTTAATAGCTCATTTAGTATACTAATATGAAGCATTAATTTAAAAGACCAAGAAAATAAAATCTTAAGCCCGCTTTCGTTATACCTACATCCGTAAAAAGTCTGAAAAAAGCATGTTTCCACAGACTACCCCGTACTCATCTTACTTCTCCTAAGTCACCTAGAAAAATTAGCAAAAGCTAGTTGGTAAACTAAATTCCCTACCCCAGTATAACAGTTGTTAAAATTGTAATCCAAGAAACGTCTTAAGTATGTTATATTTTTAACTGACACATAATTATACATTTTATAAGGGACAATATAATGTTTTTCTACATTTACGCATTTTATGAGGGTCTAGTCAAGGTGGTTGGCATATATATCACCTCCAAAATCTTACCATTTCCTTGTGTGAAAACATGTACTTAAAGCAAAGAGGTACTTAGGGCACAATTGTAGTTGTTAGATATCATGATCAGATGTGCAACTGGTATGGAAATAATGCAGTTTCCTTGAGCAAGAGTAGCTTCTGGGTTTTCTTTAAGGTTCAAACGTTTTCTAAATTTTAAGTTTATCAAATTAATTAGCTGCTAGAAAACATCTTAAAGGGAGTATTTTTTGAGTCCTACGGTGAGCCAGCAATTTAATAACCAGAATTCACTATTATTTCCCAGTGCCCCTCTTCCTCTTCCAAATGGTACTTAATTATTTTACTCTTAGGATAGGATAGTGTTTATATGTCTTTGTCTCCTAGTTGCTGTTTACTAATATTATTAGCTCTTAATACATTGACAGGTGAGAGTAAGTCTTCTTGGATTATCTTTAGGGGGAGCTCAGTTAAGCTTAAAGAGAATTTTTACCTCTTATTCTCTTAATTGGCAATAAACTTTTTGTATCTGAATTCTTTTTTTAATATTTACTTACAACCAAAATAAAACCCAGCTGAATTATCTAATCATCAGGAAAAAAAGTAGTTACAAAGCCCTCCAAGAATTGTGCTTTGAAGAGAAAAATGGCTGAGGTAACTGAATATTCTATCAACTGAGCAGTCTATCAAGTCAGAGCAACCTATAGGCACAACTTTTTTATTCAGAAAGTTTAGATTCTTAGGCCTACTTTATGTCTGGATTACATACGCTAAAAGAATGTTTTTAGTAAAATATTTTAGAATATGTGGCTGGTCGTGGTGGCACACGCCTGTAATCTCAGCACTCGGGAGGCTGAGGCAGGAGTTTGATTGTTGCAAATTTGAGACCAGCCTGGGCTACAAAGTGAGTTGAAGACCACCCTGAACTGCATAGTGAGACCCTATCTCAAAAGACAAAAATATAAATAAATATATAAATAAAGAAATAGGTATACCTAAAGATAGTTATAAAAATACACCTGAGTTACAAGTTAAACTTCTGTTACTTTGAGTTTATAACATAAAGTAAATAGTGATGGGGAAAAAATAGGAACTATCTACTCAATTTTATTATATGACAGAGATGATAGTCATTTATAGAAATTAACGTACTAGTTTTGCCACAGCGCACTAAGATAGAGTGCTGTTAAGATTGCCACTGTATTTTAATATATTTGCCGCCAAAGCAAGCACTCATTGCTGCTCTATACAGCAGGAAACTAAGACACTGAACGGTTAAACCCCATTTGCCAAATTGCATTTGTAACTGCACTGGAATTTAAACCCTAATTCCCCAGATTATGCTATTAATGATTACAATATAATTTACATAATTAGGCTTATTAATAATTAGTTAATGATAGCTATTAAACATGTATGAATATTTTATTTGTACATTTAAAATTAATTGTTGGTATTACAAAGAGATTAAGCTGTCAGATGAGTATTACTTCAGATAACATTAGAGGGCTGGGGATGTAGGTCAGTGGCACAAGTGTCTGCCTGGCAAGTGCAAGGTCCAGAGTTCAATTCTCAGTACCAAAAAAAAAAAAAAAAACAGATAACATTAGAAATATGATTCATTTTTTAAAAAATTGAATTAGAAATTGATATGTCTATATAGGTTGCAGGTTTTCACTAATATTTAAGACCTTTGAATTACCTGGGCTTTACATGTTATCTAAAAATTGAAAAGGTAATAAAAGTTCTCCAAACTCTTCCAGGTGGTAGTAATATGTTCTAATACAAATATATCTTGAATAAAAAGTTCTTTCTGTTCCTTCTTTCATTAAATCTCTGAGTCATGTCAAAGGCAAGTATTAACTTCAACTTTTTAAATATTTGGTAATCTATTATGCATTTGTGTATGTACATGTAAGTTGGATTTGGGATAAATAAAGGAAATATTCTATGGGAAAATTTTTAAATTCATATTATACAATTTAGAACACAAATGTTGACTTTCATATTGCCATATTTGATATAGTGAATAAACAAACTTTTTGATGTTAGAGGAGAAATGTCAACTTTGCACAACTTGCATTTGCTTTTAATAGCAATGCTAAGTTTGTTTTTTTTTTAATTTCAGCCTCTGCAAAGGCTTACTCAATAAAAATTAACTGGTACAAAGTGTGATATAAATGTGTTTCCTATTAAAGATTTGTCTTAGTGATGCATGTTACATTTTTGTAGTCCAGTCTTTGATTTACTTCGTCTAGTTCTTAAACAAATGTCAGTTGTAAAAGACCAGAGAATGTACAAATGATACATAACCAAAAGCACTGAAAAAACTCAGTTATGGTAAAACATCACAACCATTTTACTTAAAAGGGAAACAATTAATAGGAAAATGTAATGAAATATTTCCATGAAAATAAAATTTCCAGGTAGAATTCGATAATTATAAAAAATTCACATATTTAAATGAATGAAAATCTTTACCTGAATTGTTTTTTAACCTTCCTTTTAATGGGAAAAATTTATATTTGTTCTTGTCTTTAAAGGATTGTTTAATGGTGGGTCTACATACCTGTGGTGATCTTGCTCCAAATACCCTGAGAATATTTACTTCCAAGTCCGAAATCAAGGGAGTGTGCAGTGTGGGTTGTTGCTACCACCTGTTATCTGAAGAGTTTGAAAATGAGCATAAAGGTACAAAGTTCGCTGTGTGTCATCATTTTTATTTATCTGAAAAATGATTTGTTTCTCTTGTTTATTGTCATGGTTTGAAATAATATGTAGAGATAGCATCTGATTTTCATGCAAGTCTATGTTGCAGTATTACTGAAATTTGATGAAGCATCATTTTTGTATTTTATCGTAATTTCTTTGGTCAAAATGTCTTAATGAGTGTTGTAGCTTTGCAAATATTTGAAATTTTTATGCAATATATATTTTAGAGAACCTGTTTAAAAAATATTCATGAGGCATACTTTTAGTGAAATAGTGCAGTTATTTTGTCATGAATATAGAGTTCAAGGTTACTTTCATCTTTAAAGTTTTCTCCATTTCTGAAGTAATATTGCTATTTCTAGAAAAAAAAGTTAATGCAAGAGCCGGCATACTAGAATTTTAGAAAACTGCAAGACTGATTGCATGAAAGTAGCAGTCCTGTAGCTATGCTCCCAGACTAAGGTGCTTGCAAAACAAAGTACAGAGTAGGTTGGCAGAGATTTTAAGCACCCCACAACCCTTCACCCAGAGTGGTTCCTGAAATAATCTCTGTATGGTATATTTTATACCATATTCCATAAGGCATGATTTCAAAGCTTCAGATTCAGATTACATAGTTAGTCTATCACTATTACTAGTTCTTTTTTACATTAGTTTAACAATGTCTTCTATCAATATTTAGTGTTCTTGCTAAGAATTTTTAGGTTAGGAAGTTGTACACATAGGTATGGTATTAGTTGCTCTTTTTCTCAGATTAAAACCCAGGTGAATATGAAATTTTGATTATTTTTCACTGTCATGTCTAAGAAGTAAAATTTATAATTATACAGTTGTATTAAAATGCAGCTAGGTGAAACACTAGCCATCTTTAGACTTGGAAAAGATTTTTTTTTTGTGAGAGCTAATTGAATTAGAATTATTTTTTCAGGATTTTTAGAAATAGCTTATAAGAAAGGTGCATAAAAATAAGGAATATATGGAAATAGAATGAGAAAAAATTGACAAAAATTTAACAGTACAGTAGTTTAATTTAGGGGGAGAATGTGTAAATGCTTGTCATACTAAGTAGAGAAATTTTAAGATAAAAATTAGAGGAAAAACTGAACCTAAAAATAGAAAAGTATTTATACTAAATTTTATATCCAAATACTTATACATAAATGTGTAGATATAAAGATATTATATATATTATTATGTATAGTATATTGTATATATTTCCTATAAAAAGAAAGGGAAAAATCTTAAATGCTCTACAGTTTTGGGCTGGGGATATAGTTCACAACTCTACAGTTTTGGGCTGGGGATATAGTTCAGTGGCAGAGCACCTGTCTCGCAAGTGCGGTTCTGAGTTCCATTCCCAGTACCAAAAATAAAAAAATACAACTCTACAGTTTTTAAAATTTTCCTTAATCATTAATAGCATAAGATTCAGTGTAAGGAAGCATTGGCTTTTGGGATAATTTTGTTCTTAGTTCAAGAGCTTTATGTTTTGTCCATAAATTGAAATGCATTTAATAATTGGCCCAGTTTAGAGACAGATGTAGATGCTCTGTATGTTCCATTTAGAGACACCCACTTAGATGCTCACTTTCAGCTGCTTGCTTTCTTTCATTTCATTATCATTGCTACCAAGGATACCTCTCCTTATGCCTCGCTGCTCTCTTCTGGCAGTACTTTGTTAAGACTACCATCTCGGGCCCTGTGGACCCTCACAGTCGGCGTTCTGTATCATCGGGTCCCAGACCTCGTCTCAGTACTTCCTCACCAAGAAAGTTTCTCCCCTTTTGGCAAAGTCCTCTACTCACTGTCAGACTTTTTGTGTGGCTTCCCCACCTGATCTCCTTCTGGAGTGGTCCTCAAACCTGGTCCTGCTGATTTGAGATGTTTATTTCCCAATTTGTTTTTAAAGTTCGTTGTATAGTTGTAGGTTATAAGTAATTCTGTTTCTTCTGTGTCAGATTTTTATCATATACGTACCATGAGTCCATTGAACACCAACTTCATTATTTTAAGACTACGAGGAACTATCAGTAGTGCATTTTTCATCTGATACCTAGTTCTTCAATCCCATCATTCATAAAGAGATTGGCAGGCATTGCTTGCCAGGATTGAAGAAAATTAGGATTTTGAAATAGTTACTCCTTTGCTAATCCATTTATATCACTCTTCAGGTACCTTTTCCAATATATCATTCTATTAAACTTAAAGAGTATTCATTGGCCATATGTAATTAAAATAAATTTAAATAGGACGTGTTGGACAAGGAGGACTTTGAAGAGCTAAAGGGAGAAGAATGATCGTTTCACTCACACATTGTCACTTCCATTTCTTTCCTGCCAAGGAAAAATTTGATATATTAATGAGCATTTAGAGTAGAGAAAGATTTTATTCTCTTTTGTGTCTCCAGAATAAGCACATTGACTTAAACATGATTGATGTAGATGAATGTTTATATAATATGTGTTGAACAAATTATTGAAAACAAGTGACTAGGAATAGAAAAAAAAGTGTCAAGATTTCCCTGTCTTGGCAGCTACATTTCCAACAGGTAAAATACTATGATTGAATTGAACAAACATTTACTGAACAGTTACTTCAAGCACTGTATTTGGTACTTTATGTCTGATAAAGAATAATTGGGCAGGGCCTGTGAAGTTGTACTTTGGAGCAGACCAGACCAGGTGATCAAGTATGCATCGTCAAAGGAACCGCTGAGCTAAAGCCAGCCCAAGGTCATACTTTGGGAAAGAGATGAAAAGGTCAACTGTATGACAAGCAAATTTGGGTTCAACATTCACCAAACACCAACTGTGTTCCCCTCTATTGGAAGTGGTAGTAGTAGAACAATGTATGAAAGACCATCTGTACCTTCAAAGAACATATTTTTTACAAGCTCTTGAAAAATAAATCAGATAATATTTGCTTGTAACTTAAAAAAAAATTTGTGAACTCATTTAGACTATAAAATAAAATAAAGCATAGAAGAGATGAAAATACAAAGTCCCCACACTCATTTTATTGGTTTCTTGTGCATCTTTCTGAAAGGTACAAATGCATTCTCTATTCTTACATTTTAGAGAAACAAATACATGAATTATACCACTACTTTTGCCACATAATATATTTTAGTGCTCTTTTCTTATCAGTACAGATAATGTTCCCTTGGTCTTTTGAATGATTTCAAGATAGTTCATATACTATATTTATACAGCCCTAAATAGTTAATATTTGTGTAAAGTGGTGGTACTTTTTATAAACCAAATCTCAGTAAGCAGAGGCATTTCACTGTAGATTTTTTGAGTTTGCCTGTTTTACAGTAGTGGAGATTAGACTCACGCAAGTGCTCTGCCATTGAGCTGCACCCTCAGCCCCACTGTTCCGTGTAGATTTTAGAGAACACAAAATATAATATCTAGTTCATCTTTGTTTTCTTATCTTCAAATATTAGTTTCAAAATAGTATAGTAAATCCTGTAAGATAGGATGGTATTATTTTTATTTTGATAATATTTAACCTGTTTGTTGTTTCTTTTTTTCACTTTTGTTAGTACATGTTTGCGGTACCTAATAATTATATTCATTGTAGGGAAATGGCACCTGTACAAAACATATTTCAGATCGATTCTTTTTCCCCTCCCTCCACCCCCTCTTATTTTTCCAGCATCAGATTTTTTATTTATCTTATAAAATTTTACAAAATTAATTATTATGTACACAAATTGAAAACGAGACTAATAGGCCAAAGAACGTATAAGACATGTAGACACTTGTACTAAAACATGTAAGACACTTGTACATATTGTACCTGTGCCATTTTACAGCTGAGTAGTGTATAGCTCAGTCTGAGGGGATAAGGGTATATTGATTGCAGTGCATATTTTGAAAGAACAATAGAATTTAATCAGACAAGGAAGTCGGAAGGATACTGCAGACAAAATAAACAAAGGCATGGGATGGTAAGTGTTTAAAGTCAGATTTCCTTCTCTTTGTCTTTCCTGGTCCCCCCCTTTTTTTGGTAACTGTCATTTGACCTGTTATAGTCGTCCTTTTTCTCTGAAGCAGTGATAATCCTGTGTCCATTTTATTGGATAGAAAGGCGTACATTTTCAGAGCAAACGAGACCTCTTTTGTCATCTCAGTTTACTTCCTAACCTATTTTTCCATAGTCTCTTCTTGGCTCACTTAGTTTATTTTGCACTCATTTCATAAAATAATCTTTAGTGTTCTCAACAAATCAGCTGAACCAAATAGCTGCACGTTTTTACATACTAGAAGTGGAAGCCTCTGTTAACATATTCGCAACCACTGGTCTTGGGTTCTGCTTAAAGGCCGTTTTGCAGTCTCTTTACTGTAGAAATTGCCATTGTTCATTGTGTGTTGATAGACATTTTTGGCCTCAAAAGTCAATAAAAAAGAAGCAAAGAAGAAGTGTAGGGAAAAAAATCTTCTTTTCCCCCTTCCTGTAGGCATAGTCAGTTCATGCTAAGGCCTTTCTGCCAAAGATATCTTCTCCACGAAGAATCGCTGATGGAATCAAATAGACAATGAGTGAGAGCAAACAGCAGTGTCTTGGTGTTACTTGCTTTCTTCACATTTGCCTCAAGTGAATGGAGGAGTGTGAGTTTGCTCATCCAAAAGCAAAGAATAAGCACCAGGAAAAGGACTGAGTGATAGAATGAAGTGGGTCAAAGATAAATGCAACATGAGTATCTGCAAATATTTTAGGGGTCAAGAAAAGAGTTGACAAGCCCAGACATAAAAAGAAAGTGAAGAAAAATAAGTGCTAGGAATGATAAAAGCAAACTTGGTTTATGTACTGCCACATTTTCTCATCTCCAAAGCCAGACGGTAAAGGTAACTTCCTACCTTTTCTCTTTGCCACACTCCAGCTCGTTTTCTTGCCTTATCTTTTCTCTAATAAAGAATAGAAGATAGCAGTTTTTTATCAAAAGTTTCTCAGCTCTGGCTGCCCCGCTGAAT